TATGCCGGCCTCCAGATCTCTTTTTCCTCTGCCGGTCTATCCTTTTATTTGTTGTTTCGGTGCTCAGGACAAAGCCATGTATTACAGAAAAAAAAAAAAGTGTTTTGCCGCCATTGCGTGGCAACGATAGGCAGTTACCTCTTGGGCTGTAATCATTTGCAGATTTTCACAATGTAGAGCAAAGCTCAGTCCTACGAGGGTGTTTACTGTAGTGCTGTATCGACGTCCACTGGGGGATGAGAGCCCTAAACTACGGCTTGCAAGAGGGGGCAAATGTGTGGCATAGAAAGGCAATACTCGGGAGTTACGTGTCTGCCATTTCTTTCTTAATGTTGATAATAGCACTCTTCAAACCGCTTACCCACTTTCTTCAGTCTGCTCTTCTTTCTCAACCTTGACCTATGTCTCACCCATCTCATCCATCTCTGCTCAACCCTCCCTTACAGCCAAGAGGCTCCCACACCACTACTTTACCTCCCACTTGCACTTTGCAAAACGAGGATCACACTGAAGGACAAGGTGCTAATGATTGTCAGACAGTTTTTAACCATGGGTTTGGGAATATATGTGCAGGATAAATCAACAAGTTAACCTCCACTTAAGTGTGGGATGACTAAGGTGAGGTCTGCTGGGGTGGACAGGAAGTGCGATCATGGCTGCCTTCATTCATCCTTTATTTATTCTTCTGGCTCACATGGATTACACATAAATCCAACACAATTTGGTTGACATCCAAGTAAAAATGAAATATGTATATATATATATATATTTTTTTTTTTTAAATAAAGTTTGAAAAGTTCAGTTTATGGCTAGCATGGAGCTAAAGCTAACATGGACACATACACATAAAACTTCGCTCGTGTGTATGTAATAGTGCTCGCTCCGTGTTAACGTCTTAGCACTCATTTTCCCCGTTCTTGTGCGTGTGTAACATCAGGTCTGGTAACAGCCACACTGGCGTGTTATTTCTCTATTTAAATGTGTATTCAGCAGAACTATCAAAGGCAGCAGCGGTGGGTTGTTTACATCCGTGGTTTACACGTGTATTCAAGCTGGTGCGGCGCACCGTTGGCACGGTCACGTGGCCGCTTTGATCCGGGTGCTCCGGAGCTGTCAGCCTTTGAATGAGACAGACTTAACTATTTAGCACAGAGGTAGTGCTAACACATACAGCATCCATATCAAACTCGCGTGGGCTGCACTAACATTAAACTTTCATATCAAGGCGGGGGCCTTACACTAGCGTCCTGCAGGCCGCATATGTCCTAAGGGCCGCGAGCTTAAGCCCACTGCTTTATTAATTTAAGATGAGGATTTGATCCTATTTAACTGTTAAAAAAAAAAAATTAAAAATAAAAAAAAACATTAAAAATAAGATGCATATAAAAACATCATTAACTGTGATAAAGACAGGTAAACGTCATCAAGAACATTTCTTTGAAAAAAAAAAAAAAGACCATACTTCAAGACTTTGAGCTTGCGTCTCATTGGCCAGGGTCTTGTCCGAATGTTGGCGATAATCTCCTTCTGGTACTGAATGTTCTGGAACATCTCCTCCGGATCATCACTGTCCACCCGTTCATCCACTTTGTCTTCTTCATCAGAGGAACTGTTAAGTAGGGTGGAGTGGAGTTATCCCCAGTTGTTCCCTTCATAATAGTTTGTTAACAATCCATTGAAAATATGACTTAAATGACCTTCGGGGAGCGTACAACTAAAATCCATACCTTGTTAGGACAACTTGGAAAGGCTCCCTAGTTTAAGGTGGACAACCAAACTACGTTTAATAATGAACAGATAACAGCTTTTAATGACAGCTCTGCTGTTGCTGTACCAGAGACAGCTCTTTTCATGTCGTCTTGTGGGCAGATGTTTGCATGATCGTACTTTTCTTGGTTAGTTCGTAAGTGAGCAGGATTAGGCAAATACTGTACAAAATGAATTCCAACATCTTTGTACTTCTTTGTAATGTGCATTACCACCACTTACGTGGCTGTGCTGGAGTTATCTGCTTCCTCCACGATTATTTTGTTGAGAAAACCCAGAAGCAAGTATTCGCTTCTGCAGTCTGATAGACGTTGAGTATTCAAAAGCAAGTGAACCATCCATTTTACATAACCTCTTTTTACTCTGAATGTTAGAGCAGTTCTACCTCCACTAAACATTAGCAGAGGCAAAACATAGGCTTGGAATATTTTACACCAAATTTGACAATCGTAATTTTTTTTTAATGTCTGTCAAATGTGGGTTTTTTTCATACATGCCTCTTTCAATACGCTAAAAATCCATTTTGATTATCCTGACTAGAAAATATTACAAATATTCTTTTTATGACCAAACAATGGCTGAGTATGACCATATTTCAACAAAAACTTTTTTTATTATTATTTATTATTATTATTATTATTATTATTATTGTTATTATTATTATTATTATGAAAACAGCTCTTCATATATTAGGCTGAGTGGCCCTTTTTCCCACCCAACATTAATGCAGAGTGTAACATTGTAAATGCAAGTAAATGTGTGCCCTCTATTTTTAGTCACTGCTTGCTAGTATAGTATTTGGAGTGATAGACCTGAGAAGGAGTCTCTTGCAATGTGACAAATGAGATCATAAATTTATAGCGTTTACGGAATGCCAAAATGGCACAGTAGATCTTAGTGGCTACAATTCGACATCCAGTATACCACATGACGTTATGTTGAATTGTGTACTCATCGGTGGGAGGACAATTAGGTGTTCGCTCACCCCTGGTCGTGATCCTGGTAGGCTGAATAAATTCTCCTGGAATTCTTCCTGACACTCTTGTGTCTCTTGGCTGCAGACAGGGATCTGCTACTTCCAACCAAAGATTCTGAAACTGTGCTCATGTTGTCTCTTCTTGGAGTGTCTGTGTGTATGTGACTGTGGTCAGGCTACTGATCTGGACCCCCACTAAAGCATCCGCGCCCGCAGCAAAAGAACCTAAATGCACTTAAACATCAGGCCAATCAGTGACATTCTGAACACTTAAAGGGACAGTGCCAACTCTGTCTTGGTGGCTTTTTTTTTTTTAAATCCATCCACTCATTCATCCATTTTCAATTCCGCTTATCCTGTACTACAGGGTTGTGGGGGAGTCTATCCCATCTGACTTTAGGCACAAGGCAGACTACACCCTGAGCTGGTCGCCAGTCAGTTGGACTTGCATACATAGAGGCGAAAAGACATTTACATTCACACCGTCACTGAGCTATGAAGGCAGCCCACAAACTATCGGAAATCTCCAAGTGCCGACCTCACGCCGCAGATGCGCTTCCTCCATGTCAAAGACTAGAGTGCACAACTACAGCGGTAAATTTACAGGGAATGAAAGCAGCCAATTTGATATGCCATGATTTAAGTCGGCTGTGACCACTTCCAGACCGGCGCAAACCTCCCACTCACAGATCAGGTCCAACCTCCACATAGTTATGCCACACGACACGGGGAGTTTACGCTGGTAGCGACGATAGAGCCTATATGTTATCGGTTTGAAGTTTTCTTGGAGGGTGGGGGTACAATCAATTAAGAAAAAAAAAAGAAGTGATAAACTTACCTATCGAGCAGATAAATCCACATTGCTTCTCAATCCTCAGATGCCTGACTTCCCTTGATCTCCTTCTTTTTGCTAGTTTTATGCTTAGTTGTTAGCAAATGAAAGCTAGGCATTTTTTGTCATGCCTTCTGTCTTTGAACGGTTCTTTTAAAATCTAATTAAAGGTAAAAGATGGGGTCAGAGAGGGATGTTTTTTCCTTTACTTCTCTGTGGTGAATTAGCCGCATGGTGCTCTTTGGCTGGTTCAATGCAGCTCCCCGGTGCTGCCATTCAAACAAAGGCGCTAAATACATAGAATGCACTTCGTCAGCCTATCATCAATCCCGTTACTTGATTGACATAGAGGGAAACCAATCAGATGACTGAATCACTGCTCATGCGCAGACAACGGCGCTAAGTGCTAAACTAGTCAGCGAATTACATCTGTTTTTAAGGCAGGGATGCCCATTACGTCGATCGCAATCGACCAAGAGCCAGCAGACTGGTCCCAAGTCGACCGCGAGCGGTGGGAGGGGGAAATGGGAAAAAAAAGATTTGTGTGTTTGTGTCTTTCGGTTTCATTTATGTTCGGGTGCTCAGGCTGTTAATCGTGGTGGCGTGCATGCATGTGTGCGCGAGTGCATGGTCGTAAGTGTGTGTGTGCATACATGGCAATTTTCCGCGGATCCGCGGAAATCCGCCGTTTTATTTCTTAAATTGATCATTTTTGTGAATCGTCTAAATCCGTTGAGAAAAATTTAGGGGCGGTCAGATACCTTATCGTTGAGTTTTCACGAGCTCTCCCGAACAGTCTCTCTGTTTTCCGTTTGTAAACAGCCCTGCGATTGGACGTGTATGAAAGCTTCAACTAATCAGATCA